AGAACTACTAATGTAAAGAATTCCCTTCCTAATAAGAGGGGGGGTACTGTTACAGTATCCTCCCTAGATCCTAGACATAACTGTATTAGATGCGTACTAAAGTATTATTAGTGCATGTCTAATATAAATATAACATAACATAGACATAAACTTAAGCATAAACTACTTTAACACTAACTAAACCTAGAACAGGCTTAATTTATACTTAAAGTGCTTAGACTTCTAAGCTAAGTATTTAATTACTAATTTCTTTCTAAACCTTCCTGTTCCTCACACAACGTCTTGTACCTACTATGATACCTTACATAGTAATTAAACTAGACCTCCGTGAAGCTCTATAACCTTACTCGTGCACAATCGTGACAGTTGTGTTAAAAAGTATCTATACTTTTTAAAGAGGGTAGTGTTTAATGTTATAATCTTTGCTTTAGAGAAGCACTTAGGTCACGTAATGTTCCTAGGGGATAAGTAGGACAGGTAGTAGAGGCTAATCTAGTAGGGTGTACAGTCCTACGTACAGGCTATTAGGCTAATAGAGAGGTGGAGAGTAACTAGATTATAGTTTGCCCTGTGTGCAGCAGTAGGGAGGCTAGGTTAAACAGTCCTGTTAGACAGAATTAGAGGTATATATAGTGCAAGATATATAAATAGTATTACAGCTCTTTAGAAAGCTAAATGCTACTTAGTCTATATAAAGAATAAACTAAACATTAAACACACCTTTAAAAGGTTGTTTAATGTAGGAACTATATACATATGTAAGAGCGCTAAGGCGAGTTAGGGTAAGTTTGTTAAGTTAGCTGTGCTGCTAACTTGTCCTAGCTTACTAAACTTGCTAAGGCTTACTTAGAATTCGCGTCCTGTTCTCCTACTAGACAGTGCATTCTTCTATGATCGCAGGCAGCGGTGCTGCTTCTGTATCCTCTAAGTGGTCTATAAGCAAGTCCTGACCTAAATCAGCTAGATTGTGGAGCACTGCTAGTAGGGTTACGCTAGTCTAACTGTAGACTGTAACAGCTGTGCATATAGTACATCTCTCTTATAATCTAAAAAACTTTTACTTTTATACTACACACACCCTAATTTATTTGTTTATAGTTAGCTAACATAAAAGCTAAGGCTGCGTTATAAAATTAAAGATACTTCTAAAAAGATCTGCTAAGTAGGTGCCTACCTTGCAATAGATAACACAGGAATAAAAGTAGATCTAAAAAAGTAAAAAAGTTAATATTACCTATTAAACAACATATAGAATACTAAAAAAAATCTGCCTAACTTTTGTTAACTTACTCTTTAGGCTAGTAAAAGGCACTATAGTTAGAATAGCTACTAATAGAATTCTGTAATAGACTAAAGTCTATAAAAGTAATATAAGTTATAGTAGTAATAATATATGCCTTTAGTAGATTATCCTGTAAGAGACTAGCCCTAAGTTGCTTCTAATCTTTACACATAGACAAAGATAAAGCAGGCTAATCTAGAGTGTGTAGAGAGAGTAGAGGATTAATAGGTCTTTATAAAGCTAGCTGTATATTACGCTGTATATGTATAAACAGTGTAGAAGGAGTAGAAGTTAGCATAAAAAACTTAGAAAAAGTTAATTATATATATTAGTAGATCTAGACAAATAGCATAGAAGGAGTAAAAAAAAGTGTAAAAAACTTAAAAAGGTTTTAATATATCTAAAATAAATAATTAAGTACTAATGTTTTACTTAACATAGTGTTACACCTAGCCTAAGCAGGTTAGCTCTAACTTTAACCTAATTAAATAAAGGGAGTGTAGGTCTAGATAAGGGCAGCGCTAGGGTAGACATGTTTTAAGAGTTATGTATTTAAGTTAATATTAGCAAGTAGCTAACATGCCTAGATAGAACTAGATATAAGTGTAAAAAAAAATAGTATTTATAATAAAGTAATATACTGCACAACTATGTCTATTACACTAGTAATAAAGAGCTTTAACTTTATTAGTAAAGAAGTTAGAGAGAGGCCTGTAGTTATTATAAACTAGGCAGAAAGTAGGCAATAAGTCTATATAGTAATAGTATAATAAAATAACATAGTATAATAGTAAAAGAAAGACGTGTTAAAAGTAATAAGTCCTAATTAAAAAAAAGTTAAAGTAAATTAAGTATGTTTATTAAAACAGGGCGCAGTAAGGCCTATACTACACTAAACAAATTTAATTATTTAGAGTCTTTAGAAAAATAGTTTTCTCTAAAACAGCATTTTTATTAAGTTTATAGGAAGACTTAATTAAGCTAGAAACCCCTAAAAAAAATTTTATATAAAAAAGAATTTAACCTATCTAAACTTATTATTTTAAGTAATAAAACACCTTTAAGCCCTTACCCCCTGTGTAACAGTATGTAGTATGTAAATATTCTCTTAATTTAGAGTTAATTAGTATAGCTTTATAGCCTAGAGAAAAAAGAAAATAGTTAAAAGTGTTTAGCGTTAGTCTAATACTATGTTAGGTGTAATTTTAAGGCCTTTATAATCCTAAGTAGAGGTTAGTAGAGAACGTAGAATAAATAAATACACTTACTATAACATAGTAGCTTACTATAACTTATTATTACTATAAAGTAAAATAAAAAGAGTTAACTAAAGCTATAAAGGTATTAAAGCAGATAATGTCTAAGTTAGAAAAGATTAAAATAGGTTAAAGTAGATTTAAAGCTAAAGTCCTTTTATTTAAATAGCAGCTAGGCCTAAAGTCGCACTGCTGTTTTGCTTAACTAGGAAGACACCTCTAAAACCCCCCTTTTTGCCTGTAATAGGCTTTACTTAGAAGGTCTTAGCAGCGCTAATTATATTTAAAGAGAAAAACTACGCAGTAGAAGTAATTTTAACACCCCTAACTACATTGTCTTTAATTATAATAGGGAAAAAAGAAGGCTAGATTAAGCATGTAGCAGAGTAGAATAATTACTTAAAGCTTAAAAACATAGAATAACAAAGCTTTTTAGTTATTTAATTTTCTACTAATTAGATTAATAACTAGCTTATATCCAGACCAATAGGAGAGAGGGCTTGGCGGTAGAGATAGTGTATTATTTGATGTGAACTTCGATAATGATGTGATGGCTCGGAAGGAAAAATATTTTCCCGAGCCGCGAAACGATTGCGGGGCACAAAGTGGCTGTGGAATCAGATTGAGTATATAGTCCGGCAGATTTAATACGTATGACTTAGCTATGCTTAATTATGTGCCAAGCAACATGCCTATCTGCCATCCACACGGTGAAACTCTCGGATTCCTCAAAATCAAGTACACTGCCTTGCTAATGCTTCAGGATAGAAGCTCCCTCTATCAAACCTTCATCCCATACCACCGAAGCTTCAAGAAATGCTATATTCTACTGTCTAGCAGGGGGTAATAACAACAACGCGACTGGCGAATAGAATCCTCAACTACAACCCAACACTACTGTAATTTTCTAGTTTGACACCGATTGTGTATATAGCAGTAGTCTATATACAATTAAGCAATATGTATGGCTCTATATAGTGGAGTTACTATGTATGAGGTAGTGATAAAGACGATGTTGTTCCGCTACGGCGGTCGTTCCGTTACGAGTGGATCGACGTTAGTTTCCTACTATCCATGACATACAATTGTGCCAGGTGTAAAACCGAGACCCGACAGTTCCTTTTTTACCGCTTTGTGCATTTGTGGAAGTTGAGTTGGATCGGGACTAAACAGTTCCCAACGGGTACTAAAACAGGGCCCACAGTAGTATGGAGATCTGTACTATGCGTCGGATGGTGGACCCCTTTAGTCCTCACTACGGGACTATGTTTAGAAAAGGTTAGTAAGTTTAAGTATAAGAATATTTTATTCCTAACTTTTCCAGAGCTACATTACGCTGATTAAAAATGCGCTCTTCTACTATTCTTGCTCTTCTAGTGGCAGTCATCTCTGCTTCTGTAATACCTACTGTGTCTATAGATCTAAGCCTAGTTCTAGACTTTAGCTTAACAGCTAGTTAAGACCCTAATAGAAGTAGTAGCTGTGCTAGCGCTAATAATATCTTAATCCTATGCTTTTGTCCACCTAACTGCAAGGAATTTATTAAAAAAGGTAAACTTAGCTGTTGCTTTAGGAAATTTCTTAGAGACTCTAGTCACCTTTAATGTTAACCCTCTAGCTTAATTAAACAAAGACAAATTTAACTGTGCTACAACGTGTCTGATTGTCTTGCAGAGCTTTAACGGCACGCGCGGCGTAGGCTGCCCTGCAGCCTCCGCCCCAACCATCCTTAATCAACAGAAGCATTTTGTTGAGCTTTTAGAGCGAGATATACTCCACAGTAGTTAGCTTGCTGTATATATTAAATGTTGGGCTCATGCGTCATTCATGGATTAACAATGTTTAGGAAGTGAGGTTAGAAGTAACATCCCTCAGCACGTAGCGAGAAGTACTCCGTAGCGAGAAAATCACAGGTACTTAGACTTCAAAGTAGTATAAATCCATCCACATCGAGATATCTACACTGCACTGTTCGTCGTAGATGCTAGGAGTCTTCTTCTACCTACCTAGCGCCGCCTCTAGTAAAATTACCAGTCTTGCTGTCGCCTTGGGGCCTCAGAAGTGGGGGCCTTAATTTTTTAGCGCAGCGCGGCTCTTCCACTATGACTCCAACACCAGGTCTTTATCACTCCTAAAGTCATAATAATGCTGTATCGGCAACTTGTACCCTGGCTAGCACGCTGATAGGTCATCTTCAGCCCTATGGCGGATCGAAACAGTTGATTCATGCAACGTCGCCACGCTGATCAGTACTCGCTCATCTAAGCGAGATGACCCTAGTCATTCCGAAAGCGCCTTCTGCACGCTCACGTAACAATTACGGTATGATATAAGCCACAAAGACTGATAACGTTATCTGTGGCGCATGAAGTTCTCTTCTAGAATGATCTATCACGTGCCCTGTTCTTTGTTCGCTTGGCACAGGTGACGCGTCCTGCGTGCCGCCAGAACAGCCTTCAGAAACGAATTCCCATCAGAAAACGGTTTCCAGATACTGAGAACTGCCAATGGCGACGGTACAAAACTACTCTGTCGTTGACACGATCCCCGCGCTCTCAATTTTACTCTCCTCTCTCAGACACCTCCCTACGGACCCGCCTTCGCTATTTTTCGACATCGAGGGTGTTAATCTTGGCCGGCATGGTTCGATATCGCTCATGTCACTCTATGTAGCTCCTCAATCAACGACCTACATTATTGATGTTCACATCCTCGGCGCCGAGGCTTTCCAAGTCGTGGACACACAACTCTCTCAAGGACATACTGGAAAGTGCGGATATCCCTAAAGTCTTCTTCGACATCCGCAACGATTCAGATGCCTTATACAGCCTTTACGGTATCAGCGTCAATGGAATCATAGATATCCAGCTTTTGGAGCTTGCGACACGAAAATCTTCAAAGAGCTATGTAGCTGGACTGGCGAAATGTATTGAAAAGGATAGCAACGCATCAGCCGGTACGAAAATGGCGTGGCACCGAACGAAAGATTCCGTTGGCCGACTCTATGATCCACAGAGAGGCGGCCGCTACGAAGTATTTAATGAACGTCCGTTGATGACGGAAATTCTGCAATATTGCAAGCAGGATGTGGAGCTCCTTCCTTCATTATGGGATGTCTACAGCTCAACGCTTCGTAAGCCTAGCAATGGGGCTTGGAGGGCTCTGATACGGGAAGCGATACGGAAACGGATCCAACTTTCACAGAGTGCAGGCTACAACGGGCAAGCGAAAAGCAAGGTATATGGGCCTTGGGATACAGATGAAATTGAACGGAAGATTGATAATTGGAACGACGATGTAACGATGTGTGGAGTAAATGGGGGTAATGCACTTGACGAGAACGACCACTGGGTTAGTTCCCGCGAGGTGCAAACCTCCAAGAGTTCTGTGTTTACACTACTTTCTCGTTTTCGATAGATCCATCATGGTTGGTTCAAAAACGTCGACGTCAAGCTTGGCGCATGTCCCTCTGTCCGCGCCTTCACCAAGAGGCAAAACTTGGCAGTCAAAAATCTCCGTTTTCCGTACAAGGTTGACTCATCACTACTATATATGAATCTGAGAGGTTTTCGGGTTCCATTTTGGTTCCCGCAGTGGGTCCCATTCCGAGGACCTGGTTAGATCCGCTAATGATCTCCACGGACGTGGCTGAATGAGGCCGTCCTTAATCCGTCTTTCGCCTACCGCCGGCGGTGGCAACAACAACCACCTTCGAAGACCTTCATTCACGCCAGAATAAATTCAACGCCGCTCAGACAAGGTCTTAGCCAGTGCGGGTCGGCCATCCTCCCAGCTAGTTCGCCACTAATAGTACGCTCCCTGTTGGCTAGCTGCTAACGTACTTGTAAACGTACCTCAAGTGACATCCTGCTAGTTTCGCCACTAACATGTCTTTATTTAGTCATAACCCTAACCACAGTTGTTGATTCTTACTACTTTTCCTGTTCAGTAGACACAGAAGAAAGGCTTCCACGAGCTTAGTAGTCGGAGCGGGCAGCGACCATCCCCCAAGGTGGCGATATCTAGGGGGAAGTTACTCTACACACCGCTAAGACAATGGTAAAAAATTATTATACAGCTTCACCACACCCGCCTGAGCAGGAAACAAAAGGTGGAAATACAGGTTATCAAGAAAAACTGCCATGCGATTGTAATAGCTTGACCACCGCCTCGTGTCCATTCTTGGCTGCCCATGATAGTGGCGTCCGTCCGTACT